GCAATCCTACTTCCATAGTGATACTGCCTCGGAAACCCAAGGAGGGGTCGCTATGAGTCGGGGCCGACTCGACGGCACATAACAACAACAACAACAAGTTATCCAATTCAGATCAATATCCTGGGGGGGGTGGGGACCGAATCTTTGAAAATATATATCTCATGATGCTTTAAAGAGCAGATTTATTAGGGAGAAAAAGGGAAAATCTTCCCCCCGGTTGGGCTTCCTTTTCAACTTAATTCAATGAACATACGTGCATTTTGGTTCTCCTGTGCTGAATGGAGTGCTAGCAGCCATAGCAACTGAACAAGTAATTTTCATCAGATGCCTTTCCTGCTTCAGTTCCCATCACCAACACAGTACACACTCAAAGCTCCGCCTAATCGTAACTATTTGCATTTCCTGGCACCAAGCCTTCTCATCCCTCTGCTTCTTTGTACATATTTTATTCTCTCTCTGAAATCCCTTGACCTTTTTCTTTCCATTTGACATCTTTTTTTCATTGGAGCAACCCTTATTTATCTTTAAAGACTTAACTCATTTGTCACTTTCTCTGAGTTATTTTCTTGATGCTTTTGTGGGTATTAGACGCTTCTCTTTAGCCTTGGAATTACAATTGTTAGTGTGTCTACTACACTCTGCTGGGTCCCTGTGTGTAATAATAATGTTCTTCACTCCTTGAACTTTATGTATAAATAAAAGAAAGAAAAGCATAACAAAACAAAACCCAACATACGGTAAACACTGAGTAAGCACTTGTGGAGGGAATGAATAATTATTCTAAAGGAATCTGTACTGTAAGGATAAAGATGATATTTACCCATGGTCATCAAATCTATTCTAACTCAAAGCAACGCTATAGGACAAAATATGAGCCCCATAGCTTCCAAGACTGTAAACCAGACTACCACATCTCTCTCCCATGGAGGAGGGTAAGTTCAAATTGCTGACCTTTTGGTTAGCAGTCAGTGATTAATGAAGGTGCCAGCAGGGCACCTTCAAGAACAAAGATAAGATTTGGAAAATAGCCAAATACAAGTACAAGAGATTATGTGATTATAGATCCAGGGTGAGTGCTTTATAGTTTCAGAGAAGAAAGACAACATTTCAGGTTAAAGTGATTTGGGAAGCAGTGGGATCCAAGTTGGAACTTCGTCTTGGGTGGAGTGGTTGGGGAATAGTGCAAGACAATGAATCATGTAGTCATCTGAAATATTACTGTTTCTGTAGGAATATATCAACAGAGGGCAAAAGACAGCTGAGACTGATGCTTACTGTGGTCGTAATTCCCTAAAAAACCCAGATGTTCTTTTTGACTCAGCAGATGTTAAACCAAACAGACTACCATATGGAGACATTTTATTATTTCCTTATAATCAGGTAAGCACAACCAAAAGATATGCAAATTGAATCTGGAAAATACCTTGATAATAATATTTACAAAATCTTAAGACAAGGAAAAGTGTTTGTCATGTGAAATCATGTCACGTTGGACAGGTACTGCAGTTCACATTCTGTGTGCTTGTTGTCATTATGGTAATTTTATGCTTATTCTCAAAAGAAGAAAATATAGATGTAGCACCATGTATCTTGTATTCTTTATTATGATCTCAAAAACACTTGCACATAAACATAAATACTGAGAGAATTAAAAATGTATAAATCTCTATTTTCAATATAAATCCTGAGAGAATTGAATTAAAAACGTATAAATCTCTTATTTTCTTTCATTAATTAAGAAGAAAAAAAAGTGGATAACCTTCAGCAATCTTGTGCACCAGTCAGGAAAAAGTGGAAGTAAATCAGGAGCACAGCAGTTGTGGGTTTTCAGTATAGGTATTTAAGACTAGAGATCGTAGATTTACCCTTGCTTTACAATTCCCAAATTGTGATGCAAGGTCTAGAATATATATATGACATGACTAAGGAGTTACAGAGAGCCCTGGTGGTGCAGTGGTTAAGCACTTGGCTGCTAACCAAAAGGCTAGGGATTCAAACTACCAGCTGCTCTGTGGAAGAAGGATATGACAGTCTGCTTCTGGAAGTTTATAGCTTTGGAAACCCTATAGGCCAGCTCTACTCTGTCCTATAGGATCTCTGTGAGTCAGAATTGACTCACAGCCATGGGTTAAGGAGTTGTGGATCAGTAAAATTGGTATTTCAATACTACTGTTTTACAGCGGCATTCATTCCATCCCTAAATGCTCAATCATATTCAAATTCAAATTAGTCTACTAGAAGGTTTACCTCTCCTGTCCCTGATTTATAAATTTACTGAACAGTTCAGACAGAGCTGCACTTAATAATACATAGCCCCATAGGGAATGAATTGTTCCTATTTTGTTAGAAAACATAAAGAATTAATTATTAATTCCAAGGTCACGTCCAGTCCGTATCCATTTCAAGAAAATCTTGAAGTCTTTTTCATGGTAACTGGTTGAAATTAATTGTTCCTTTCTCTGTGTTCTAATATATTTTATATGGAAAACAGTCAATAACTATTTATTGAATTAGATTACATTAATTTTAATTGTTACAAAACAATGCAATGGTAAGATGTTGTTACTTTGTTACTGATTTTTTTTCATGTTTCTTATGTAGTTATGTTTAGCATACAAAGGATTTCTAGAAAATCATATTGGTCTAAAATTCCAATACCAAGACAATAATAAGACTACCAGAAGCAAGGATGTACAATTTCCATTTTATTTTGCTTATGGAAACAAGTAAGTTATACTGTGAATTTGCAAACTTAAGTTATTCTTAATACATAAACCATGAAGAGAAAAGAAACTCACTTCATGTCTTTGTTTTAAATAAATCATGTGCAATGTGGAACTAAGTGCGATTTTCCTTATTTCAACATATACTTCCTTACAGAAATAGATGTGCCAAAAAGAAATGTATAGATTATGAAAATAGAAATTGGTCTATTGTCATCATCACCAATGACTGTTTAAAAGTCAAAATAGTGGTAAACTTAGAATATAGCTTACATATTATTAAATTTAATTATTTTCCTACTTACTGCAGGAAGGTAGAAACAGATTGCCTTGCCACATTTATTTATAAGACTTGGATCACTGAAAAAAAAAGTGGTTGCTATGTATTAATGGAAAAAATAAAATAGTTCCTTAGTATACCAAAATGAAGGAGGAAAGATGTTTTGAAATGATACTTGCTTTGCCAAAGTTAGACTGATAGAAATACAAAAAGAGAAATATAAAGGGAGAAACTGAATGAGTCTAAAGAAAGCTATTTAATGGCCATAATTATCATGCCTCCTAGCATAATTTACTTCTGTGTAATTATGTTTTAGATCTTATGAATTATTGCATCTTCTGAAATTTATACCACTCTCAACCTTGCATTTTATAAGCAATGCACATAAAAATAATCTTAAAATAACATAATAATGATGATACACATACACACACTTCTATTTTATAAAATGCTTCCCCATAATTTTCACAGTCATGTTTACTCAAAAAAAAAAAATAAATAAAAAACAACAACGAAACCCAAGCCATCAAATTGATTCTGAGGCACAGCAACCTGCAGGACAGAACTGCTCCACAAGGTCCCCAAGGATGTGAATTCTATGGGAGCAGAGTGCCATGTCTTTCTCCCACGGAGCAGCTGTTGTTGTT